TTTTTTTTTTTTTTTTTTTGGTGAATCACATTCGTTGAATTACGGGAGCCAGCAGTTTTATTCTTTATACATTTTTACAATATTTAAAAACATTTTCAGCTATATAGAATCGATCGAAGTATGCAAATTTAATCTCAAAAAGTTTAATAAATTAGATGCGTTGACTTTTTATTTCATGCCATCATTCTTGGAGGGGGGGGGGGTTTTGGGGGGGGGGGGGCGATTTAGCGAGTAGCAAACCATGGACCTCAGCAATTTGTAATAATTCACATTCTTCTTTTCCCTTTGTGCCGTGTACATAGGTCAGGTCGGTTCGCATTTTTCAATTATCAAATAAAATCATTGGTGTCGGGTGTTTAAATTTATAAACCAAATCAAACCAACAAAGTCGGATTTTTCAATCTCGGTTTTCTTGGATTTTTCGGGTTTTCGGGTTTTTTCCCCAGTAAAGTCTTCTTAGCATAAAATATGTAACTTGTGCTCCAAATATTTCTTAAAGTCCTACTAAGATACAACTATATAATGTATTTCCAAGAAACTAACACAATAATATGAGATAAGTCATAGCATTATACTAAAATATTCAATAACAAAAATAATAAAATTACATAAAGCAAATATTGCTAATTAATAAGTCATAATGAAAATTAACATAATCTAAAAATACTATATAGGTCATGCTAAAATAAGTATGTGTAATAAGTACTAATATTAATTACATAACTAAGCACTAAAGAAAAAGATAAACTAAGTTATGCATTTTCATTATAAATCAATGTAAAACTAAAATAAATATCCAACACTGTCGTCATTCCTAGTGTTGAATTGAATTTCTTTTTTATCATTAATATTGATTTGAACTTTGTTTGAGTTATTACATTTATGAGCTATAAAATTTATTTATCATTCAAGAATATTAAGTCTAAACTTGAAATAATACGTCAAAAGATAGAACTGTGAAAAACTTTAAGAAATATTTATAAATTACATTACAATAAATTTTATATGTATGAATATTTTTAAAAATTATATAAATGTACTTCGGGTTGGCTTGGTTTCGGTTTGACTTTTTTTAGTTAAAACCAAACCAAATAAATTATGGTCGGGTTTTATTTTCCAATACCAAACCATATCGGATTTTTTTTTTCGGTTTGACTCGGATTATCGGTTTGATGCGATTTATCGGTTTTCTTTGTACACCTCTATGTGCCACTGTCCTTTGGAAGAAAAAGAAAAATATATTTGTTGTTTTTCTATGGAAAAAATTACTTATACCCGCCACCAGGAGTCTCGGATCCCCGATATTTACATCAAACTAATAAAAACATGACATATCCCTTTTAAGTACAGCTTTTTCACTTAACAATGATTTGTTAATGAAAGTACAAGGAGGGGGGGTGAACTGCTTATTTTTAACAACTTTTAACAGTAGTTGACTAGATCAACTATTAGTCGACTTGAGGTAAGGATAAGATAATAATAATAATAATAATAATAATAATAATAATAATAATAATAATAATAATAATAATAATAATAATAGTAGATGCAGAATTTAAATGCAGGAAGTAAAGACATCGAGATTTTTATACTGGTTCGGATCCAATGTGAATCCTAGTCCAGTCCCCTTGGGTTGCAAGGGTGTTCTCTTTCAGTGATTGTTGTTTCTTGAGTACAGATTGAATGGCGTAGCTTTACACCAATAGCTTAGTCTCTATATCGCTCTTCTCTTTTCTTGATACAATGCCTCACTAGTTTTTGTCTCTTTTCCTTCTCTCACTTAGTTACACAGCAGATCTAATGAAACTACAATGCTTGTTTGGAGTAGAACAAAAAGAGGGTAAATGGTTCGACCAAAGTATATGTCTCGAAGTCTTAAGGATGCGTATAAATACTTTGTAGGAGACCGTTGAAACTGACGAGATTTGCCAACCCAAGAGATTTGATCCTTGGAAGAAATTGATTCTTTCCAAGAATAATGTCACGCCCCGAACCTGGGCCTGGACGTAACACGACACTCGGTGCCTGACTACATGTAACCGAGCGAACCAACTGGCTGGCTGAATCAATATGTGATATCATAACATACTAAATGCGAAAGATAAACTAACACATGCTGATATACTAAAAGTCTGAATGATAAAAATCAAAGTGCGGAAATACTAATACAATTCTGAAATATATTTGTAGCCAACATGGCTTAATATGAAAAGCCTGCGACTCTGTCTAGCTGTTACTCTAGTCTATGAAGCCTCTAATGAAATACTGGAAACACTGACTGTCAGAAAACACTGAAGACTGTAAGGTAATGATAATGCCCCGAAAGAACGGGGGATCACCAAATAGCTGATACGAGAATCCTAGCGCTCTGAATTGTCAACCTGAAATCATTACCTGCATCGTGAGATGCAGGCCTCGGGCAAAAGGGACGTCAGTACATTTGAATTGCACTGGTATGTAAAGCAACTGAAAGAAAGAATTATAAATGCTGAAACTGAAACTAAGCTGATAACTGAGAATTGATAATTGATAACTGAAACGATAACTATTGAAACTGAAACTGAAATGATAACTGATAACTGGTAACTAAAATGATAACTAATAATTGAACTGAACAAAGGAAGTAAGGATATGGAAACTCCCTCTTCTGAACGATGAACAACCTATTTATCTGAATAAGCTACGGCCTCGGGCCCAATATATATGTGCACAAGCTACAGCCTCAGGCCCAAGTATACGTATACATAACTACTGCCTCAAGCCCAATGATGCATAAAGCATAAACTACGGCCTCAGGCCCAAATACAGGTGTTCAACATTCAGGAATTTAGAATCAGGAACTGCGAATCATACAGCAATACATGATACTGAAATAATGAACCATACCGAGTTACATGATACTGGAATAATGAATAGGACTAGACTGAGATGTGTATTCATAATAAGTTGATTTTGCCATAACCGAAACTCATAGAATATCGAATGATTATGAAACTATGCCATCTAGAGAATAGAAGTTCTACTACTATTCATGGAACTAAGGCATAATTACTTTCTGAGGAAACTAGAAATAGTCATAATGAATGGGACGTAGGGAGAATCATAGACATTCCCAAACGTAAAGAGAGTTAGCCTCACATACCTCAATTTTGCCCCTTAGTGCTACTATAATGATTCACAATACTAAGAACCTTCAATCTACAATAGCAATATCCAATGGAACCAATATTAGTAATAAATTCCATAACTTAAGCCATTTAGGCATATTATCAAACACCTTGTAGGCATTAGTCTCTACATCTCATCACCATATAATTAGTTCATCCAACTACCACCATTCATCAACAATTTATCCCACCATCATGATTAACCAATTTATAACTTCCAACATCACATATATGACCATCCATCCACACCCAACCAACAAAATTCCATCAAATAATCATCTTTCACTCTCTACAATAGTTATGTAATTCAATTGGGAACTTATGGCTTCCAATCACCATACCAATAGTTTCAATACTTATTCATACTCATATTCCCTTAATAAATTCATACATGTAAGTCTAAGGGAGTAGGATTACCTTTTTGGAAGAAATCTTGTAAAACCCTCTTTTGAGTTCTTGAAGAAATCTCTTGAGATCTAAGTATTTTATGTGTATGTTCATCAATACTAGTGTAGAAATGATGGAATTCACACCAAGATAATGGGGATTCTTACCTTGAAGATGGGAGGAGTTGGAGGTCTTGAGAGAGTGGAGGAAAACCCTAAAATTCGTCCAAAAGAAATGGGGAAAATGGACCCCGAAATTGTGTTTATAGGCCCAGATTTCGAATGCGGCCTCGGATGCTTCGCATCCCCAGTTCACTCCTCTCAGGAGCTCGGATGCTGATCCGGATGCTATGGCAGCACTTCACTGCCAGCCCCTCTTTTCGGACGC